ACATGGACCTTTAAAAACTTTGCTTCTTGAAGAGCTGTTAGGGTTTGCTTCCCAAGGGCTAGCGCCAAGTTCAGCAGCTCTGAGAGCAGTACTTTGGGTGTGCCAGGACCCATGCTTTGCTGTGCTGTCGGAGGGCTGGCATGGCAAATCTTTGCCCAGCGCTGAAACCTGGGATGTAGAAATCTTCTGTGGTGGTTGGATGACAGTGTGGAGCTGGGCTGTGAGGGCCTTATGTGAGGAAAAGAAATAAGTGATGAGGCTAGGCGGTGCTTCCCTCTGCCTGCCATGGGACTCCCAGGATCTCTCTCCCTTGCTCCTTTGCTGCCCTTGAAGGCTGCTCTTTCTGAGCAGCACAGACACCAATGCTGCTGCTTGCCTCTAAGGCAACAAGGATGCCTGAAATTTTGTGCTCAGCCCTGAATTATATCCCTAAAGTAAACTGAACACAGCAGATCAAAACACATGATAGTTTTCTGCTGGACACTACAAGCTCTGAGAGGCTGTAGTATGTGTGTTTGTTGTGAAATGAGCCTCTCCAGTGATGATTATTTTTGTTACAGGCAGAGTTGGCTTTAGTTTCTGTGTTGAAGGTCCAACAATAACAGTGAGCCTGCTCTCCTGGGGTGAGGGAAATCCAGAGGGGTTTAATCGGCAGGAAATTCAAGTAGGAGACCGCTCTGCTCCCGGCCTAAGGTTTCAGTGTGCACTGATGAGCTGCCGAGCTGAAAAACCCCAAGTGTGGGTGGAGGTTCGTGGTGCCTGGCTGTTATTTTTGGGTCCCCTGATTGCTCATTGCAGCCTGGGAGAGGCAGAGGGAGACTTCATCAGCCTGGAGGGGTCTGCCCCTCGCAAAGGGTGAGGAGTTCAGCTGCTGATACCCAACCTCACGGGAAACTGGAGTTGCCCACCGTAGGCTGTGGTGTTTGCAGGAGTCTGCCCGTGTGAGCTTCTCCAGGTCTTCCTTTCCCATCCCTATGGCTTGGTTGTCATCCTCTGGTGTCGTTCCCCTGTTGGGATGGTCCTGCAAGGAGAGGGTTGCTGGGATAATGTAAGTCATGTGGTGGGCCTTAACAAAGGAGAGGATCTGGGGATTTCCCATCCTGAGCATGGCCTGCTCTGATACTGCTGGGGAGCGCTGACCTCTGTAGCCTCCGTCAAGGAGCCCAGCTGCTCTCCCATGGCCTCACCATCAGCACAGCTCTCCACTGGCCCCTCCACCAAGCAGACCAGCAGGGGCCCCAGCAGTTTGCTTTCAATGCCTGCATTTTGCTTACTGAGCAACGGGATGTCCCACACACCTGGCAGACTTGGCTTGTACTTCAGAATTTAATTTTAATTTTATTAAGTGAATTCAGGGCTGGCAAAAGCTGCCAGAGCTCATTAGCTATGGATCACGTCTTGCTTCCAAAGCATACAGCCTGGGCAGTAGCCATGCCACTCACTTTTTTCTTTTTTCTTTTTCTCTTTTTTTAAAAAAAAAATATTTTTGGGTGTACTTAATGCATCAGATTGAAAGGACACATTTACATAGAAGCTTGACCCTCTACTGTGTACAAAACAGGCCTGATTTTATACAGAAAGGCAGTGGTTGGCATGTCTGCTGAAGCAAACCCTTTGCCTGTCAGTGGGCACAGTGATAGATTTTTTTTGTTGTTGCAGGTGTTTATCTGCTAGGTACCAGTGTGTCAAAAGAAAAAAGCCCAACAGAACAATTATAAAGATATTAAAGTCATTTTACCTCTTCAGTTAACTCTAAGAAGCCCTGGGTTCCCTAGTACGCTATTGCCCACCGCGTGTGGACAAGACAACGCTGTACTGAAGTAGCCACCCTCATTTCTCTGGAACTTCTTGGGGAGGGATGAACGAGACAATATCTGTTGCTCTGAGAGACACAGATAAGCTTTCCTGTGGGCTGAAGGCTTTTCCTGCTGCAGAAAGATGGTGAAATTTTGCTGGTGGTATCTGAACACCTGATGGATGTGGCTTGTGCTGCTGTCTGCTCAGTTGTTTCACCTGCTTGTCCTGTTTTGCTGCAAAGAGCTGGGCTCCAGTCCCTCTCACTCAGGCTGTCTTCACCAGCACAAGCAGTTTAACTTGGGCACCAAGCTGACCTGAAATCAGGATCAAGCCCAGGGATTTCCTTAGCTCAGTCCTGCTGACCTGCAATGGCGTCGCAAGCCAAGGGAGAAGTTTTAAGATCAGTGTAAACCTGGGTTTCTGCTCCTGAGTGCATTTGTCAGGGAAGATCCAGAGCAAGCTGGAGCCTGACACCCCTGTTCACATCACAGTTCCACTCCAACTGGTTGAGTCGCAATGGCTCACGGGGTATTCCTAGTATCTGGCGTGAGCAAGGGGCTAGCAACTCCTGAGCGGTGGGTGATGTTGGTGGTATCAGCCTAGCGGGTAACACGTGTGTTAAAGCTGGAGAGACGGGGAGGGGGTGACGAGGTGTGGAAGGATTGACTGTATTTTCATTGCTTCGAGACTTTGCCCTTTCCAAGAAAAATAATCTGCAGCTTGAATATTTCTCTTTGCTGGAGGGGGTGGACATGTGTGCAAACGAGGTGTGAATTTTTATGAGAAGGTGTGAAAGTGCGTACATGAGTGAAGTGTGAATTACACATCTATTTGTACGTTGATGTCAACAAGTCCATGAATTTCTTCCTTCCATGTGGATGTCCCTAAACTCACATAGACACGTGTGTGGGCAAATACGCCTTGCCGAGAGAAGATATTTGTGCAAGAATGTAGGTTTGTAAATGTTTGTGTGTTGAGCAAGCTCTCCTGTGGAACAAAACCAGATGTTTTTTCATATTCTCAGCTCTTCTGTGGCAATGTTGCGTTTTTTCCCCTCGTATTTTTCAGGATACTTAGAGGATTATTTTAAGAAAAAAGGGAAGGCTGCAGAGCTGCCTTTGGGTGTGTGCTTGCAGAGCTGCCTTTGGGTGTGTGAGAAGAAAGTTATTTTGAAGAATGGATGTGTTAGAGGGCATGAAAAACATGGGGGAAACCGAGACAGTGCTTTTTTATGGTGAAGAAAGCCTCGCTCCTCCATGAAGGGCTCTCCTGCTGCCCTTGTTCCCGCCCAGGGCACGTGCATTTTCTGTAGGCAGCGTGCAGGCAGCACGTTGTTTATTCCAAGTGCTTTTTTCCAGGAAGTCTTACCGCCGAGGGGTTGCGGCTGGGATGTCCCCACCGAGTGTGGGCAGACTTGTGACAGGCTGACAGGGGACACCCCTGGAGCCTGGCGGACCCCATGGCAGAGGGACAGAAGCAGACCCACAGCGTAGGGTTTAGCCCATGCACCTCTGCATTGCTTTGCTGCTCCTAGGCAGTCCCAGGGCTTTGCAGCGAGTGCTGCTGCAGGAGGGACAGGGACGGCTGGGATGTCCCCACCGAGTGTGGGCAGACTTGTGACAGGCTGACAGGGGACACCCCTGGAGCCTGGCGGACCCCATGGCAGAGGGACAGAAGCAGACCCACAGCGTAGGGTTTAGCCCATGCACCTCTGCATTGCTTTGCTGCTCCTAGGCAGTCCCAGGGCTTTGCAGCGAGTGCTGCTGCAGGAGGGACAGGGACAGTCCCCAGGGCCAGGCATTTGGGGGGACACCATGGAGACCCTTGGCCCGCAGAGCTGAGGGGGTGTGGGATGTGTGGTTGCTCTCCTACATCAAGGGTGATGCTTCTCCTGTGCCTCGGCTCCCTCAAGGGACATGGGATGTGCCTCAGGCCCCATCCCAAGGTGTACACATGTGGGCCCCCAGAAAGCCCACCCGCACCTTCCAGGGTTGTGGGGAGGCTGTGGGGACAGCCTCGTAGTGGGGACAACCCACAAGGGTTTGCATCCCATGTTGTACCCCATTGCTTATCATCAGGGAAGGGAAAGCATTTCTGCAATGCAGGACTGGGGTCACCCTGTGTGCCTGCCAGCCTGCCCTGTGGAGAACTGACGGTTTGGCTGGGTTTTTCCCAAATTGCTGGTTTTTTTGTCCATTTTGCTGGGTGTGAGGTGGCAGTGATGTCTTCTGGGAGCAGCTGTGGCAGCCCGTGGGGCTGGGATGGGGCAGTGGCAGGAAAGGGGGGGGCAGGGAGAGGCATACTACAGGGTTGTCGTGGAGAAAGGGACTTTGTTGGGATTTGTAGTGCGTTATCAATTGACCCTGTGATGCAGATTTTCCTCCCAGCAAGTAATGCAATAATAAATTTGATTTGCAGTGTTCATGAGATTAAATGTTTTTTTTGAAGATGAAATCACCCTCTAGGGCCTGTTCTAACCCAAAGCTGAGAGTGCTTCCTTTGCTCACCACGCAGCCATTGCCAGCCATTTGTGGGCTAGCCTTACAAAACCACCACTGCTGATTATCCACGTCTGCAATTCCAACAGCTGGGTTAGCTTGAAGGGTTGCAGGAGGCTGATCTGCCAAGATGGGGCGGTCAGGGCAGGCAAGGTTGGGGAGGGAGAGCCCAGCAAGCAGAGCAGAACTGTCCTCAGCTCTGCCACCAGCCATGTGGAGGGTCTGGGCTGTGCCTCAGTGTCCTTCCTTGGAACCAGCAAAGCTTTCTGCACTCCTGCAGCTGTACTTAGGGTTGTACGTGTTCCAAATTTTGGTGTCTCTCAAGGCAGCTGTGAGAGACTGTCACAGAGTAGCTTGCAAAGGAGGCAAAAGAAGGGATAAAATGAGGCAGCTCCAAATGGTCTGATACCAATCTGCCTCTTACTTTATGGCTCTATAATTGCCTCAGCAAGAGCATTTATTTCTCTTTTCTGATCTGTTTGAATGTGGTATATAAGTGTGACAGGAGGTGGAGGGAAAAAGGAGTAGGTTTGTTGTGCAGAATAATTGCCCTTGCCCAGAGATTAATATGAAATATTAAGAGTACCAAATGGATGTCAACGGCCTTTATCAGACCACCCTTAGCAGTGGCCCGGAGGGACCATCTGCACGTGGCTGATGCCCAGAACCCATTTCAATGCCTTGTTCCCTTCTGTGTCTCTGCAGCTCAGCCGTGCGGGGGCCGCTTGAACTCCAAGGATGCCGGGTACATCACCTCCCCAGGGTACCCCAATGACTACCCCTCCCACCAGAACTGCGAGTGGGTCATCTATGCCCCTGAATCCAACCAGAAGATTATCCTCAACTTCAATCCTCACTTTGAAATCGAAAAGCACGACTGCAAGTAAGAGCCTTCCTCTTCCTTTCTAGTACATTGTCACCTCTTCCTGCTTTTGCCTAGTGGTACGGGCCTTGTGCTTCCTTGTGTGTGAAGACAAGCATCATCCTGATGCCCTGTAGCACTCCGTCCCGCTGTCTCTCAGGGGCAAGGGTGCCTCTATTCACTGGGTGATTAATAAGATGCTGCTTTGGACACACAGAATGAGCCTACTCTGCATTGAACTGGTGGTTCTTAAAAAAGCCTGATATCACCTGAAAGCAAAAATTAACTGGCTTTGAACCAGCATTTGACTTTGGTTAAAAGGCAGCTTGTTTTTCTCAGTTTCAAAGTGGCCTCACTGTCCTTTTAAACCATGTTGGGAGAGCAGAGCAATTTCCTGATGTGTAACTAGGTATGTATGTATGTATGGCATAGAGAGCCCTAGGGCTGGAGAACCAGGCTTAGGCCGTGTGAAGCTAGGGGCTTGGGAGTCGAGCTGTTTGGGCTGGATCTGATGCTCCACAGTGCTTATTCTGCTGTGTTTGGTAAAGTGGGAGTTTGGTTTTATTTGGTTTTTTTTTCTCTTTTCTTCTAAGAAGGGACTCAGAAAGTAGATGTCTGGGGAAAAACAATTAACAGCTAGTAAAGAATAATTAACAGCATCAAAGGGCACCATAAAAGACTGAGTTAATAACATGGTCTCAGCAGACCTATAAACCTGTGTGTTTAATCTGGAATCCACCACCAGCTACAGGCATGCCTGAGCTGTGAAGGAGCTTGGGGTCTCCTAACTTGGGACTGGCACAGCAGCCTTGCCAGACACGCTGGTCTTCTTGATTAAAAGGGGGTTATATGTGAACAGGGCAACTCTGTTTGCAAAAAAGGACAGAGGGACAGGGGAAGCATTTATAGGGCTGTAGAATCAGTCCTGTGGAGAACAAAGAATTCAGCATGAGTTTGATGATGTACTGAAGGTTATGAAGTGTAGAGCTGGATCCCCAGCTACCATAAATCAGCATAGCTTCTCTAACTCTAATGAAGGTGTGCTGATTGATGTCATTGGGGCTCTCATCACCCCCCACAGATAAAGCCTGGGCTAATAAGGCTTTGAGCACCATGAACTCTCTCTGAAGTCACTGTATGTGCAAGCAGATTAGCACTTGCAGGATCGGGCCTGTGTTTAGAGAGAGGAGAAGGTAGAGAAAGGCTTGACGTAGGCCTAGATGAACACAACAAGGCCTCGGCAGTGCAGGTGAGAATGATGGTTGCTTCATATTTTTTTATTGCTTGTATAGGCTGAATTGTATAGCTGATGCGGTCGCCCCAAATTCACAGTAATAAAAGCTTTGTAGGCCTATGTGCACGGTCTGCAGAGTATGCAATATGTATCGGGCAGTGCAATGTTGTGTGCAGGGCAGGGGTTGAGTTGGATAGGAGGGACTCCAGCTTCTGCCTCTCCAAGGTCTCCAGCAAGCAAAGACAAGTTGGTCAGAGAGCCAGAAACCCCCACGGGCACCTGGCTTTTCCACCACATGTAGGAAGCTGTCAGCTGTAGCTCTGAGCACCTTGGACAACTTTTACTGTATTTTGCTGCCTGTGAGAGAGCAGGGTCTGGTCCTGAGCTGCAGGCAGTACGTGCTGGAGGGGCTGCCCGGGTGCTGGAAATGATGTTTCTTTGCTGCTTTCTACTTTACTTTGGCAGATCTTCTGAGTGGCTGCTAGGTGGTCTCGCCCTTTCTCTTTCTGCCTGTACGTGCACACAGGGAGCCTTTAGTTAAAGCAGAAAGGTTCAAGTTAGAGCAGTTTGGTTTCCCATGTGGGATATGAACGGTGGAAGGTTTGTCAGGGTCTCTGATTCAGTTCAGCTCCTGGGGCAACATTGCTCTCTAGAAACCAGGTATTAATACCAAACCTCTCCTGAAAGTGCAGCTTGCCTGCACCTCTATCCCCTCAGCTGCTACCTGTGTGCAAGCGAAACAGGGTTCATCCACAGTGCAACTGGGCTTCTGCTGGCCACAGGTATGAGCCAGGAGCCAAGCTGACTCCCCAAAGCCAGCACTGCATAGTAGTGGTTGTGAAATAACTTCGTGGACGGTGGTTGACAGGAAGCATAACCAAATGAATGAAAACAGTGCACAATAAACACTGCCTGAAAGAAATTTATCGGAGGCAGATTCTTTTTTTTTTTTTTTAAGTGACCTGCTAGGAGGAGACAAGTATTAACGCTGTGTAATGCTTGGGCATTAAGCAGTACTAGTAGGTGACCATCTATTAATAAATCTCATTTGAGTGACAGGGTATTTTATGAAGAAACAGAGGCCTCATTGCAGCTGCAGGTGGGAACCTTAACGGGAACAGGAGTTCAGCATCAAAGAAACATAGTCTGAGGGCAGAGTCCTTCTTTTGACATCTGGTCATTAATATAGAGCACATTCACACAAAGGTGACAGGCTGATGAACCCCATTGTGGCACTCTGTCTCTAGGCAGACAAGGTTCCCCCTACTCTGGTATTGCTACCTGGCAGCTATCATAGCAGGAGCAGGGCCAGTGTGTGCTTCCAGCTGCTGGAGGTAAACACCGTAACTCTGTCCTCTGTTACTTCTTCTTTCGACATTTTTTTTACCTTATTAGGGTAAAGTTTATCCTCATAAAGCATAACATTTACATTCCTGAAACCCATTCTAAGTCCTACAGAAATATCTGCAAAAGTATTTTTGGTTTTACTGTGTCCTTTCTGGCCTTCCTTCTATCTGCTTTAGATTTCCCTTTGGGACAGGAGGTGTTTCCTCCTGTGTTTTGTACAGTGATGGCACTCTGGGGACCTCTGCAGAAAGATCAGTGATTTCCCCTCGCCAGGCAGCTGGCCGGAAAGGTACCTGGTGCTGCCTGGACATGGATCGAGAGCTGGCTGCGGAGAGCAGCTGTGTCGGCCACCCTCCCTGCCTGCGGGCAGGAGCACTGGCCAGGGCTGGACACGGTGACAGCTCGGGGCGGCTGCTCCCTGACGATTGTTCCTATTGTTTTTCTGGAGGCACATCTGGGCTTTTATTTTTCAGCTGTGTCCAGCTGCATGAAGAAATAACTGCACCCCCGCCTTCCACCATAATTAAAGGAGTAATTTGGTGTAATTGAAGCTCCAGAACTTCTCTCTCTCTCGATCCATGCTCTGAGGAAGTGCCTTACTTTGGGAAGGCACTTCAGGTTAAGAAAATTGCCGTTCTCCTGCTGTTGTGGCTCTTGTGCACCAGCACAGCAGGGATCTCTGTTGTGGGAGGGTGGGCACACTGTGGTAGGGAGTATGGGACCTCAGCCATTGTTCACACACTGTCCTGTAGCCGTGGAGCCACAGCAGTAATGGCAGAGCCAAAAGGGAAGTTTGATGCTCTGGTAAAAGACCTACCAAACTATTTGGAAATAATTGTAATAGCCTGTCTGTTCGCCATTTCTTCCTCTCCATGCTACAAGCACAGCTGTTGCTTGGGCACTGTGGCCCTGCACCATCGGTATCTGCTCTCTGAACAGGGAAGTGGCATCCAGTGGAGAAGAGCACCCTGCTGCTGCTGTGGCAAAATGTTTCCTCTCCCTGTGTGGCATGGTGGTAGATGGGCAGTCTTGTGAATGCCAGGATTTATTTGTGATTCCAGGAGCGACCTGAACTGTTTGCAGTAGGTGTGCAATAGGGGTGGCTGTCCTCTGGCTTGCACAGTCACGTAACTGAGCTGCCCGCTCTTTCCTAATTGCCATTTCACTGTTCTGTCTGCGCTGCTTGCTTGGAAAATCCAAGTCAGAAACCTCAGCTCTGTGTGAATCACTGCTTTTATAACCACCTTTTCCATTCGTACCTCACTCCCACTGCTGGGCTTCTCTTTGGACCATTAAAAGCTCCCTCCCAAGACTGGCCACTGACTCTGCCATCCCTGGCCATGCTCAGCTGACTCTCCTGGAGGATTAGGCTGGGCAGAGCTGCTGTTGAGTGCCGGGACGTTGCTGAACACACATAGCAGAGGCACTCTCACTCCAGACTGCCGCGTGTGGGCTTGTGCTCACTCTGCAAGCAGAAGACCTTTCAGCTGAGTCATAACATCTGCACCAGAGGAACGGTATTTTTTGACTGACAATCAGACCGTACCAGTAGTAGTAGCCCTTTTTCAGTAGCCCTGTCTAACACATGCCACAACTGAGTTGCGATCAGTGGGATCCCTGCCTGGGGAGGATTTGGGGGACCACTGCCGTGGCTCGCAGCCCCCTCTGGTGGCACATGCCAAATGCTGGCAAAGGTCTCTGGAGACAGGGGCCTGGGGCTCCAAAAACAGGCAGTAGCCGGCAAAGTGGAGACAGCCCAGAGCTGCACAGTCAGGCTCTTCCTCCTGACTTTGTCTCTCCATGTTAAGCCCTGGGGGTTTCCAGAAACAGGAACTGGGGTCACCGTGATGAGGAAATGTATGCAGTTTTCACTGACCTTGTAAGTGCCATGATGGTGCCAAGAGAGTTGAACCAAGTTCAGCATCATGGTCTGTACTGGATACTAGGCAGGCATGGCAGGAAATGCCTCTGCCCCAGCCTGAAGGACAGAGGGGAAGGTTTGGAAGTGAAGATACCACGCTCCCAGCACCCATCTTGCAGAACCCTGCCTGCCAGGGGACGCTGACAGTAACATGTTGGTGTTCCTGGGCTAGAGTATAAAGGGTGAGGCACGCAGGCTCAGCTAGCCAGTGAAGACCTCTTATGGCAGCATGGCCATCTCCTGTGTTTCCAGGAAGCTGGGCACTGGAACAAAACAGCTCTGCATCCTTCCTAGAGAGCAGCAGAGACACTGACCCAAGTGATTTGCTCAGGCGTCAGGAGGAGCTGCAGCCATGGGCAGGCAGCTGGTGGCTGCAGTATTCAGCCTGGTTCTCTTGACCATCTCCTTCAAGAAGCTGTCCTTCCATCAGCAAAGGTTAAGAGTAGACAAGGCAGAAATTATGGACAGCTAATTAGTAAATACTTTGAAAAGTATGCATAATTAGCTTATTAGTAAACA